GTGTCTCCAGTTAGAATTACCAGCTGGAATACTGCCAAGTGCAGTGACCGTGGCATTTCGTATCACCTGTTCTCTAACAGACTTAAAGACCTGATTATGTCTCTATAAAACCAGGTCTCAAACCAGGTCAAAAATAATACCAGGTCTCTAGAAATTTATTTAAAAATACCATTTGTTTTCTGTTTTCCTCTGTAATCGTGTGATTAAATTAATTAATCAAAAATATCAAAAATCAATTGATCAACGATTATTTAAAAGACGGGTACAATGGCACTAACAAATAAATGCAAAATTAAAAGGATTTAATATAAACAGCCTTGTCTATTTAAGTGTTAATCGACTACTTAAGAATTTCAATAGGTCAATTTTGTGTCTTTTCGGTTTGGTATACAATATTACAATTTTCTAAATATAAAATTAGATGACGTTCTATTTTGAATACTAATTCAGTTCGGTCGTTTATTTATAAGATGCAGTGCAATTTATTTGGCTGTGTTCTTGTGATGCGTACGTCAAACGCTTGGAACGATTCTGGCCGGTAATCAGTTGGGGGCGCTGGCATCGATCGGCTTGCGTGACCCAGTCTCTCGCTCCTGATTTCGAAGATTAGTTTGTAAAAGAAACTAAACAAAATGCAACATAAAAAGTTTTAATAAGACGCATTGCAAACCTTAACAACGTCTTCGTAAGTTTCTTGAAAGTTATAAAAATGGTTCGCTGTCAAGGTATGTATGTATGTTGCGTTATTATAGTTTTAATTTCTTCTTTTACGTCTAATTGCATTTTAGTTTGTTACAATTTACAGATGTAGTCAAATTATGTCTTTTTTACCTTACGATTGGGCCCAAAATAAACGCGTTTAGGAAATTCGAAACTTTGAAAACAACTATTCCCATTGGTAAGTACTTTGGCTTACGTACTTTGTAACTTGTTCCATTCAAATAACGAATTGCAACAATTATTATTATGAATGGATTTGATACTTTTTGTTATTATCCGAAACACGCAACTAAACTTTTCTTTTCATAATAAGGAATCTACTTGTATTGCAGGAGTTATCTTACCACCAAATACATTGGCAGAAGTAGCGTTCGCGTCGTCTCTGACACGAGCGTCAGTCGAAAGCAAACGTTATCACTTCACAATGAAAGTCATACATGTTTCTGAGGGGGATAGCTTTGCTGCCTCTAAAGCCGGTAATATCCTTTGTTCCGTTGATTGATTTACTACAAATTTACAAATAGTTGACAATTTTTATTTTATTATTTGATACGTGAAGATGTTTGAAATAAGTAACAGACAACAATGAAGAAAATTATGTTGGTTTGTTCCAGCATGCGAACTGTTAGCCGGCGGCGTTGTTGCTATATTCGGGCCAACAGACGCGAACTCTGCTGCGGTGGTTGAAGCACGGTGTAGAGCCGCGAGGGTTCCCCATATACAAGTAAGTATAGAGAAATTCAACCATTACAGCGGCTTGCTATTTCGCGTTAAACTTAATTTTTGCAAGTTTTACTGAAACAATAAAAACGCACATCATCTACTAACGATTTAAGGACATTGCAAACTAATTTGAAGTTTTAAATTTACATTTTATAAGGTAATTTAAATAAAAAAACTCTTTGAAGGCAGTTTGGCGACCTACCCCCGCCCGAGGGATAAAAAGACCTACACCACCTGGAATTAATTTGTATCCTGAGGCAGTCTCCCTTTCTAAAGCTGTCGCCTCACACATTAAGGATAGTAACTGGAACAGCTATACACTATTTTACGATGATGATCAGGGTAAGATAAATCCAATCATTCTAAATGAACTAGAAATTTATCGTTTCAACTTCTCAATCGTTGACGAAGCTAAGAATATGGCATGTATTCGATTCAAATCTCGAATTTTGACCACATACCATATACTTCCCTAATTACTCATGTATTTGTTACATTTATAGGGCTAATAAGACTGCAAGAGATATTGAAACACGCGGAGCCAGGTCACAAATGGTTTGTGCGTAGACTAGCAGCCGGCGGTGACAATCGACCTCTGTTCAAAGCAGTGAAGACAACGGGTGTTACACGAGTTATCATCGATTGTCCAGCAAACAGGATCCTTGAATATTTACGACAAGCTAATGAAGTTAAATTTTTCGAAGACTACATGGTATGTGCACTTAAAGCCAAGTATTTAACAACGACATTAAGTTATAACTCCTTTTTAAAATTCGAATACATTTTAATTCGTCTTTTCCAGAGTTATGTCCTCATGTCACTCGATGCTCATACATTAGATTTAGAAGAACTTCGATATGGTCTATCGAACGTTACCTCAATGAGAATTGTGGATCATTCTGATTCAAGAACACTATCATATTTAGCAGACTGGAAGACAAGGGGTGCGTCTGATGTCGAAATACCCAAAACAACCCAAGAAATAACAGTACGTACAAAGCATTTCAGTAAATACAATTATTTTTGATGTTAAAGAATTTAATGTTATAAGAATTTTTTTTTTATCTATTCTATTTTTAAATTTAAAGGTAGAAGCTGCACTAGCTAGTGATGCGGCAACATTAATAACAGATGCGTTTAAAACTGCACCAGAGGGATTTACTATAGAACCACAAGAACTTAAATGTGATTCTGAAAGTAAATGGGAAGTTGGCGAAGATTTTTTGGACTTGCTTATGGTAAATTTAACGTAATATAAAACAATGTTTGTAGAAATCGGTGAACATAGACTACAATGGATAACATAAACAACCTAAAACAAGTAAATCACCAAGATACTGCACATCTTATGGTTACCAGAGGAAATTATTCAAAGGAAAAGACAACAAAATACCTTTGATCTCACTAAGTTGATTTTGTTTTGTAATCAAGTCATCTGTTTTATATTTCAGAATCCAACATTTGGTATGACAGATAAAATGGTACTGGACAATACAACAGGCGAAAGGACTTATTTCAACGTTGAAATAATGGAACTATCTAATAGTGGTTTTAACAGCATAGCGAAATGGAATTCTATCACTGGCTATAAATATGCTAGAACAGCGGTAGAATTTTCAGATTTATTAGCTGAGAAATGGCAAAACAAAACATTTAGAGTAGTGTCACGAATTGGAGCGCCATACTTGGTTGAAAAGACCCCCAAAGACGGCGAGGAACTAACTGGAAATGACAGATACGAAGGATATTCGAAAGATTTAATACATGAAATTTTATCCGAAACACTACATCTCAATTACGAGATAATAATAGTACCGGGTAATCGTTACGGTTCATACAACAAAGAAACTAAAACTTGGGACGGTCTTATAGGATATCTACTGGAACGGGTTTGTTTAATTTACTTGAATTTATATCTATACATGTAATAAAATTAGAGTGTCTGTTTGTTATATGAAAAGAAAAATTCCAGATTTCAGAAAGATCATGTAACGTTGCTGATAACGAAAATCGCATTAAAAAAAATCATCTGTCTGTCTGTCTTTTCTGTCCGCAAACCGCGTTTGTTCCGAATAATCTCCAAAACGGCTGGGCCGATTTAGACGTGACTTTCTCAAGGGTTGTTGACATGGTTAGGCATATTATAGGCTCCTTTTTTTTTAATACCGCGCTGTCAAAATTTCGTAACAGGTGGTCCAAATTGCGCTAACGAAGTTTGCGGGCGACAATAAAATACAAAATAATAATTTGATTATTTTATTACAGAAAGCGGATTTAGCTATTTGTGATCTAACTATAACTTATGAGCGACGATCGTCGGTTGACTTTACAACGCCTTTTATGACTTTGGGTATTAGTATTCTGTATTCAAAACCGACACCTCCTCCTCCCGAATTATTTTCCTTCCTTAAGCCATTTTCAGTAGATGTCTGGATTTATATGGCAGCGGCTTATTTAATGGTTTCTCTACTACTTCACGTACTAGCTAGGTAATAAAATCTAAAGTAATAAAATTACTTTCAAAACATTTAATACATTTTAAAATTATAGAAAATTTGAACTGGTATGTTTTTGCAGGTTAGCACCAAAAGACTGGGAGAATCCTCATCCATGTGATAAATCTCCAGAAGAATTGGAAAATATTTGGCACATCAAAAACTCTTGTTGGTTGACTGTAGGTTCAATTATGACGCAAGGTTCTGATATCCTACCAAAGTAAGAAGTTATGACACTATACATTTGCATAATGATACCTCCTGATTCCAACAACCATCTAACATTAATAAGACAATATTCTCAAATACTTTTTAACCTTCCTTCCCCTTACTTTAACATTTCTCGTATTTAATGTAGTTACATTTCTTAGAGGATATTCAACGAGATGGGTGTGCGGAATGTGGTGGTTTTTTGCATTGATTATGTGCTCCTCGTACACTGCAAACTTAGCTGCCTTCCTCACCAATGCAGCTATGGACGATTCAATAAAAAGTGCTGAAGATTTAGCGATGCAAACTAAAATTAAATATGGTACGGTACAAGGTGGATCTACTTATTCATTCTTCAAGGTAAAATACGTTATACTAAATTTTTAGGATTCGTGTTATTGTGTTAATTTAGATTCAGGCTGATGAACACAAATGGACAATAAAATAATTTGAAATTACGAATTAAAAAAAATGTACCGTTTTAGCGTTCAAATGTGTCAACGTTTCAAAAGATGTGGGGAACAATGGAATCGACACGACCATCAGTATTTGTTAAAAATAACGAGGAAGGCGTAGACAGAGTAATAAAAATGAAAAAGAAATATGCCTTCCTAATGGAATCAACTGCTATTGAATACGAGTTAGAACGGAACTGTAATCTAATGCAAATCGGTAGCACATTGGACTCTAAAGGATACGGCATAGCTATGCCATTTGGTACGTAAAGAAACGTAACCGTTTCCAATGCAGAGACACTTAACAAAGATCACGTTATCCCTTTTTATATCTTTGTCTATATGTTTTAGACTCATCATACCGCACAGCCGTTGATAATGCAGTACTAAAATTAGCTGAAAGTGGAAAATTAGTTGAATTTAAAAATCGTTGGTGGAAAGTCCCCAAGGAACTAGCCTGTGTTGTAAGCTTTTACTTTTGTTAAAAACTATACTTAGTTTAAATACACGTTGATTTATTATGTACTATTTATTATCTAACAAAATATGCGCTATCCGAGTGTATCAAACTGATTTTCTAAAAATATATTTAAAGGTCGATTCTGGACTAGACATAAAATATGGTAGTGTTCAATTTACTCTTTTTTAACCTATTAATTTTTCATAACTGGCTACATCGCGTCAGACTGTTTTTACTTTGTTTTTGTTTTTTTTTTAATGATTTTTGTACTCTGTAGTCAGAGGAGGCAGGAGAAGAGGGTGCAAGTGCAGAGGAATTGGGCGTCGACAATGTAGGCGGCGTGTTCGTGGTACTCGGCATAGGCTGCGGTATGGCAGCGGCTATGGGGGGTTTTGAGTTTCTGTGGCACGTCAGAGAAGTGGCTATTGAGCAAAAGGTAATTACTATGATATCCATGCATGTAGGAAGATGTACGACAAGTGTGACAGGACAACGTGAATGGAAGTTACATGAAAAACAATGCAATGATAAATTTCATACAACATTCCATAAAGAATATGTATTTATTTGAAACAACCTTAAAATGTAAAACCATGTAAGAATGTAAAAGAGTTAATTAAGAAATATTATTTCCAGATGTCGCAAACGGATGCGTTTTGGGCAGAATTAGCTTTCGCTCTAAGTTTCTGGGAGACCGAGAAGCCCGTTGTTCATTCGAGACCATCGTCTTCCGCTTCGGGGTCTATAGCATCGAGGGCGTCCTCGGTACTACGCTCAGCGGCAGATCTCTTCCACCTCGATGTTTTTAAATAATTCAAACTTAATGTGAACTCAAATGCGCTCACTTAGCATGTTATTTGCTTATATTGCACAATGTACATTACAATTACGTTAAAACTGACATGTTTGTTAATAAAATTCCTTTCTTGTTCCATTATTTTTTATTTGCTCTCTTTTTCCAAAAATGCCAGGCGACTTTTACTAATAAAGAAATTCTTAATCGATTTGTGTTCTGCTTTAGAGAAATCCTAATATAAGCAGATAATCAATTACCTCGTTAAATCACTTTTTCGGGTATAATTAATATATTTCATCAAAATTGATGAAAGAGGTGGCAGCTCTGAGCACGGAGACGGCTCGGGACTGCGAGCGCTCGCGGCGCGGGGTGGGCGAGGCCGAGGGCGGCGCGGAGCGCGGCGGCGCTGCGGGCTTGTGCAGCACACGCGGGTCCAGTGACGCGCGCCACTCGCTCAGCAGAGCCTCCTTAAAGGTCACCTGCAACCAAAAACCACTTTAAACACCCACAACAAATAGCATAATATACCAATGCTTGCTAACTTATATCTACTTAAATTAAATTTGGAAAAAAATGGCTTTGCCTAAAACTACTTTCGACTAAAAACAGCGTGAACAAGCGACGATTAGAATATTCAAAAAACTACGAGCAAGCTATGGGGTAAATTAGTCTAATAGATGTCTTCTACTTTCGATTTTTAGTACATAATCTAATGATATTAATTTTATTCCATTACGTTAACATTCATTCTACGCTAGTAGCCTTTATTCGAATTTAAATACAATAGTAAATTCGAAATTATAAAAATGAACCTTACCTTTTCTTTAACAGAAATTTGTCGCGCGTGTAAAAGGAAATTAATAATCGCAACGAAGAAACCTAATATTCCTCCAAAACCCAACACTAAAAATATTCCACTGGTATTCTTCATTTGCAATGAACCGTTGTCTTCTGCCTCGTTTGTAGATTTCTGATGAAAAAAAAATATAATCAATACCAATGTAATGCTAAAATTCACATTTTTATAATAAAAGGGGGCAAACGGCGTGAACACCAAGGTGGTCAACGACGCCTATAGACATCCCCAACACCAGAGGAACTACAGATGCGTTGACGGCCTTTGATGTAATATAGGCTCGCTTCTTGATAGACCCTAATTTGTATTGGTGGGGATATCCCGCCGAGGACAGACCGTTCTACAATGCGGCAACGAAGCAGAACGTTCCGCGAAAACCGCAAGGTTAATAATTATAAACATAATGCAAGTTGCACATTACCTCGCAATTTCCTTCTTTAACATCACTTTCCCACCATTTCTTTTTCGTGGTAAGTAAATCTCCTGTCTCTTGCAATGCTAAAATAGCATTATCTACAAGCCTCTTGTAAGGAGAATCTGAAATATAATTGGACAGGCGCATCCAAATTAAATGTAAAAAACACGGTGCTTTATAAAACTAAAATCTGCTCTTGTTACAGACGTAATTATTCATAATTGTGAAAATAGCCATGCATTTATGGATTAAAAGCTAAAACTGTGTTTAAGTAAAAAAAACATAAATCGGTACTCACTTTTATGCAATACGATTCCATAATCCTTAGAATCTAGCTTAGAACCGACCATTTTCAAATCGCAATTTCTTTGCATGTAATATTCAATAGCAGTTGATTCCATAAAGAAGACGTAATTTCCTTTACTTCTAACCACTCTATCTCTGCCTTCGTCATTGTTGTTGGTAAAAACCGTTGGCTTAGCGGATTTCATAACAGTCCATATTTTCTGATACACCGAATCGTTTGAGTTCTGATTAAAAGAAACAAATCACAAATAATACATCATTTTCATACCACTAATTTTATCATCTCCTATGTACAAATCGTGTTCTATGGTGAAGGAAAACATCGTGCACATAGCAGCGTAGAAAAGATATGTGTGAATTCAACCAACCCTCAGTGCAGCGTGGTTGACTATGCCCTAGTGACCCTATACCCTTACTTATGGTAGGGTCCGAGCCCCTTGGTGGGGACGTATAGTGAGCTGTTTTGATGGTGTACAATTTAATTACTGCCTCACTAATTATTTCAGGGTCTTCAAATTAAATCAAAGCAGTGGCAGTTAGAAGGTAATGACATAATGATTAAAATTTGACGATGTATACTTTTAAATTTATGCTTACCTCAAAAAAGTTGTATGTAGAACCATTAATAAGAACGCCGTACGATACTTCATTTTGTTCTGAAAGTTCTTTGATATCTTTTATATCGTTATCACGTCGACTGTTACTCAAAAATGTTGACATATTAGCTGTGTATGATGCAGTCACAATGAGGGCGAAAAACCACCACATTCCTGTCACCCAACGTGACCCTGCCGCTCTAGAATGATAAAAACACTATAAACAGTTAATATAAAAAGACTCGCAAATCCTGTCAACGCATAACAAAACACTGCCGAAAAATTAAGAACATATGCTAAGTGAAGTATACTCGTCACTGAAGATACAATATTATTTGAAGCTACTCTTACCTTGGCAATATATCGCAACCTTGTGTCATTATAGAGCCGACTGTGAGCCACATACAGTTGTATAGGCTCCAAATGTTTTGTAGATTTTCAGGATGTTGGTTACAAGGGTGAGGATTAACCCAGTCACCTTGACTCATTCTAAAAGTAAGACATTGCAAAAATACCTTTAAAGATAATTACTAAATAGTATTTTTAGATGTTTCGATTTCAATGCCATTTTTACAATTTGACAGTATTTGTTAATTACTTTAAAACAAATAAACTCAAGTAAGGTAACAATGTAAAGATATCGAACGTTCAGTGCTGACGACTAGAAATGTACTGAGCTACTGCGCTTCTGAGCGACTGACGGGCTGCCAAACTGAGAGCTCTGCCACTCCTTGCAAGTGTTTTTATAAAACTACCCCCACTTTTTCATCCATTTTCTAACATTTCCTACCAGTATTGATTTTAAGGAAATAATTCAGCACGAGGAACGGAGTACACGTTTACTTCAGACACCTTCGAGATTAAACATAAAATTTAAGCCATTGAATCTAAACTTTAAAAAAATACCATAGACTCCCTTACACATCATATCTTTGTTCTTTGTACAACTTAGATCATTGTATTAAAATTTCTTGAGTATAGACAGCCAAATACATGCAGAAGGAAGATTTAACTTACCTAGCACAAATTAGTAGAACGAACGATACAATTATGTAGGCAGTGGCCAAATATAACCAGACATCCAGAGCCAAAGGCTTGATGAAAGAAAACATATCGGGTTCCTGGGGATCGCGTTCTCTGACCAGCATACTAATGCCCAATGACATAAACGGCATCGAGAACTCTACAACTGCGCTGCGTTCCGATGTTATTGTAATATCACTGATCGCCATTTCCGCATTCTGGAACAGAGTTTCTCAATATAACTGTTCGATTTTTTTAATCTATTCTATATTAGTGTTACGTGTAAATATACTGTAAATGTTCCTTGATAATTAGCTTTTTAATTTGTGACATGTTTAATAATTTTGATACTCTTTGGATATAAAAATGTAAGCGGTTACCATGGGAACGTGTTGTTGTTAAGTCTGGGGGATGAATAAAAAGATAACTAACCTGGAATAAATCGTTTTAATTCTCAACATTATAATAAAGCGTAAACACACACTTCTTTGATGCCTAAGA